ACCAGCTACTGACCTCTACCAGTCAAGTGCTCTCACTACCATGGTCAAATGTCCACTTGAGCCACTGTGCCTTCCGGAGACAGTGGCCTGGATGCCCTGAAGGATGAGCCAACATAAAGCTCTGTCTCTTCAGTCATGTATTTGATCATAGTGACTACAACAGACATCTTTATTATGAGCTGTTTTCTCTCCCTGACTAATAGGAGCTGAATTTGTTGATCAGTCAGTGTATTTCAGGTGCCATCCTTAGCACTTTGTAAGATCTTATCCCATCCAGTTCTCAGACAACCCTTTGATAGACACTGCTGGGGAAACTGAGTCTCAGAGAGACAAGAAAAGCACTTTGCCACATATTTAAGAGAGGATGGTCTACTGGCTTCAGGAATAATGTAGTACTGGCTTCATGTAATAAGCAGAGAATAAAAACGTGTCTTGTGCCTATTGCTAACCATTAGTGCATGATATGCAAATGATCTTGACTGCCAAGCTCCTACTGGGGTACAGTTACCCAAAAGTGAGTGATTTAAAACTGGAGACATCTGTTATCTCACACCTACTGGTTCTAGTGCATAGGCTCACATGAAGTGGCACAGATGTGGTCAGGAGGGTGGCCATCTCATCTGAAGGTTCAATAGGTCATAAATCAATTTCCAAGCTTTTCTGTGAAATGGTATCAGGAAGCCTCAGCAACTCATTAAGTGGGTCTCTCAGGAGGTCCCACTTCTTCTGAAGCAGCTTCCCAGGCCAATGGAAAGGAAGGAAGGGAGAGAGGGGGGAGGAAGGTGAGAAGGAGAAATGGGGGAAGAGGAAAGAGGAGGAGACCTTGGTTAGGACAGAAAGGAAGAAAAAAAAGCGGGAAGAAGAGGGAAAGAGATGGAGAGAGGCTACTATAACTTTGTTACCTCAGAAGTGACACTTCATGGCTTCTGTTGGGTTCTGTTGGTTTATAGACCGGCTCTGGGGAAAAGTGGAGTGCATATCACTAAGGGATCATTTGGAATCATTTTGAAGGCTGGCATCATGGGAAGCATCAGTCACCTAGCAAACCTTTGAGGACACCCAGGACCAAGGACCTGTTCTTTGCTCTCTGTCTCCAGACAACATCCCAACCAAAGTCCAATATTCACGAGAAGATGAGTCCTTTCCAAACCATGAGGGAATTTTAATATTGATTCTGCTTATTAATATTACTCAATACATTTTATTCCAATCAACTTCATGTTCTAAACAAACATCATCCTGTTCCTTCGTACCCTGGATCAAGGATGTGGCTTCTTCTACACTGCTCTCTCCATCATCAAAGATGTGTCCCTCTGTCCTGTCTTCCCATGGTACATGTGGATTAGATGACCTGGCCATCGTGTTTCAGTTGGGCCTGGCTAATGAGAGTCACAAGCTGCAGATTGAGGGTGAGAGGTAAGGTTTTGGGACATAAACAACCCCACGCTCTCTGTCTGCACCATCTTTTAAGAGGTGTTTGTGCCCATTGTGTCTACTACACCTCTTACTAGGCTACCCACTTCCATGTCCAAGTTCTCACTAGACCCTGGGAATTCTAAACTCTTCTTCCCATGGTCTCAGCATCCCCGTGTCCCAGGGTCATTAAAAGCCCCCAGTGTCTCATTATTTTCATTCTTCCAACACACCCAGACCTCCATAAATGACTCCTTGTATAAACATCTCCTTTGAACCAGCCAAATAGAATTCATTTCCCTGTTGGATCCAGGACCCACAGATAATAGCATAGACTCTGGCTCCCAGGCCTTTGTTTCCTCACACTTCAAGAGTCAATCCTTTAACTGTGTGTCAGTGTAGATGAGGGCAGAAGGCTCATTTCAATGAAAACAGAAGCCCATTGGGACTCAAGTCCCTTATCGTTATGTGGCTCCCAAATAACCTATTACCTGCCAATAGCATCTTGAATCCTAAGAGAGTTTAGACATTTTTGGTGAGAAGGCAAGAGTATGGGATATCCAAGAAGCATGAGTACCAGGATTTGAAAAAATTATTGCAGACCCCCACTCCCACCTCAATGCTCTCCCCTTCCCTGACCAATCAGGGTTTGCTCTTCAGGACATGTCATGTTGTGTATCTCTTCCTCTTTAATACAAAGTCTTTATAGGAATCTCCATATTTTTCTCCCTTTCTGGGGAAATACGGTGGAGTAAATCCAGGCATTTATTTGTGGTAACTTGTGATAGAGGAGAGAAATCAAAGCTGAAAGTGTTTGGGGAATCTATCACTCACACTGCATTTACCCATCTACTCATTTGCTCCAAGATCCACCCCCAGCATGATGGTACATTTCCTGGGTCCTAAGCAAATCAGACAGGATCCTTGATAGCGAGGAGCTCTAGAAAGAGGAGAGTGAGCAGGCAAGCACCATGACCTGAGGCAGAGTAGGAAGAGGCTGGGGCTTGACTCCTTAGGCCTCCTTCAATCACTCTGATGCAGGGTCTTTCACTGAATCTTGAGATCACCGATTAGGCCAAGGAACTCTAGGGATGCAACTGTCTTCACACACCAGCACTAGGGTCATAGATGCATGCCACTATGCCCAGTTTTTACGTGGTTGCTGAGGACCTGAATCCAATCCTCTTTTTCTTCCTTCCTTCTTTTTTTTTTTTTTTTTTTTTTTTTTTTTTTTTGCAGGGCAAGCATTATCAACTACACTATCCACTCCAGCCAGTGACTGGTTTTGTTTTCAAATGCAATGACCTCATATTATTAGTCAAACAGTTTAATTACACTCGAGCTCCATTAATACTGTAGTGCATATTAGAAATTGATTGGAATTCATTTTTCTGACTCCACATTATCTCTTTTTCTGAACCATAGCCAATCAGGCTGGGAACCATCTTCCCTTGGACCATGCTCCAAAAAGAACAAACAGATCACTCAGGACACTTGGGTTTGTTCAAATGTAAACACAGACGTTGCTGCGTGAGAATCTCTGAAGGAAGGATGAAGAATGGGGAGAAAAAATAATCTAATAAAACCGCCTCAAAGCTACAGAAGATCTCGTCTTTCAAGTTCGTATGCAAGGATGGGGGGAAATCCTTCTCTTCCTCACACTGACAAATCCTCACTCTCAAACAGTTCCTGAAGTAAGGACTCAAGACTGTTAGTCCAACCACAGCTACCAACTCAAGCCAGAGAGAGGCAGAGGAGTCTGTTGCTCTTGCTTTTCTGGGCCTTTCATGCCTTAATTACTGGCATAAAACACACGTCGAGGGAGGAAGGGTTCTCGGGTTTGCTGCAGGAGTGGTGTCTGCTTTTTGCATTGATGGACGGTGTTGTGTTCCTTTATTTTTCTTATAACAGAAGAGATCTAAGGAAGCCATCCTGGAAAAAGATGTTTTCTCAGGTTGAAAAGTCTGATTACCTTAAGATAGACATGGTTTCCTTGCTGGCTTCCACACTGCCAAAGTCAGTAATATGTATGTATGTATAAATGTGTATGTATGCATTATGTGTATATGTGTGTACATGTATATGTGTGTATGCACATGTGTATATATGTGTATCTATCTGTACATTTGCACATATGCACATTTATCAGTGTGCTTTCCATTGCTTTGATAAAACACTGACCAAAAGCAACTTGGGAAGGAAAGGGTTAATTTGGCTTACAGGTTACTGTAACACCATGAGCAGATATCAAAACAGAAGCACAAGGTGTTGAATTGAAGCAGAGGCCATGAAGGAACGCTGCTTACCACCTTGTTCCCTATAGCTGGCTCATTTTGCTTTCTTATACAGACCAGAACCACCTGCCTAGGCTTGGCACTGCCCACAGTAAGCAGAGCCCTCCCACATCAAACATCAATCAAGAAAATGCCCCCACAGCCATACTTAGAGGCCAATCTGATGGAGGCATTTTCCCAAATTAGGTTACTCTTCCCAGATGACCCTACCTTTGTTGACAAAATCTCAACCAGGACATATACACATATGTGCCTGTGCATATGTGTGTGTGTGTGTATGAAAGTATATGTATATAATATAATATATATACATTGATATAAATGTATAATGTGTGTGTATATCTACATATGTATACAAGTAAATATGTACATATATACATAGGTGTGCACACACACAAAGGATGTCAGAAATGCCTGTCCTTGGGGGAGTGAGACAACGGAACAGGCAAGAGTAGAAATGGAAGCCACAGAGGGGGTTGGGGGAATGACACACCTTTGGATGCTATGGTGTGTGTGCACATTCATGTTTGTGCCGGTGCACAAGTGTGTGTGAGTGCATTCATGTGCATGAGGTGAATTGTTGTTCCTCTGGCTCTGTTCAACTTTTTTCTTTAAACAGAATCTGCCACAGAAACTCATCAAGTAGGCTAGGCTAGCAGACCAGTGAGCCCCAGAGATCCATCCTCCTGCCTCGACCTCCCCTTACTGGGATTACAAGCATGTGCCACTGTGGGTCCTGGGGTTTGAACTCAGGCCTTCACATATGCAAGGCAAACACTTGACCAAATGATCTGTCTTCCCAGTTCCTGGATCAAACTCTTAAGAAAAAGAATATGTGAATAAAACCATTTAAAAGACACTCTATACAACCTGTGGATGTCTTTGCTCAAAGCAGAAGGCAGCCATGGAAATTTTGTTTGTTTGAGGGAGAGAGAAAAGGACTCAAATCCATCAACAGATAAAGCCGGCAGGAAGTGCTGGTTTATGGAATGACAGCATATACACAGGCACACACACAGCATCTTATGTGAGAAGCAAGAGGGACACAAATAGAGAAGCGTGAGCACCACGTCCTGGAGCCTTGGGCTGATGTCCAATGAAGCCAGGGCGCTAACACTAATGAATTCTGATGATTCGGAGCAGTCATTAAACTAATAAGCCTATTTCAAATTAGCACAGGGACTGCAGCCAGCCATCATTTAATAAAGCCGCCTTCATTATTTTAGACACGGCACACTTGTGAAAGTGACTGCAGGAGACAGGGCCGGACCCTCATCTGATGATTTTATCACTTGCCTGCCGGAGCGTGAAAGAATCGGTGTGATGAAGTTGCTCTCTTGGTTTCTCTTGCCAGAAGGGAATTCTGCACAATGCCTGTTCTTTAAATCAACATTTTGAGATTAGCCATTATTTGTGATTTTGACTTAATTCTTAAAATTGTATTAGTTGATCAAATATCTGCCTTTTTTTAGCTGGTATTGACCTGCATGTGGAAGCCAGAGGTCAATGCCAAGTGTCTTCCTCAGTTGCTCTCTCCCCTTACATATGGAGGCAGGGTTTGCCATTTGAATCCAGAGTCTGACTGTTTGGATGAGAGTCTACATAAGGCAGCCTACTCTAGGGATCCCCTGTCAGAACCCCCTAACCACTGGCATTACAGGGAGACTACCACACTCCCCTAACATTTATGTGGGTGCTGGGGATCCAAATACCTTGTTGCCATGTGCTTTACTGGATAAGCCATCTCTCTAGTACATACTTAGGCAACGTCTTCTAAAGAGCTTCTCTGGTCCTGGTTCCATCCATATTCTGTGCCCCCACTCCCTCCACTCATCCCTACCCAAAGTGGACCTCTTCGCTCAGAAACCTTGAACTTGGAACTCTGACCTCAGGGAACTCTGCAAAGGGGATAGCCAACTGTATCCTTTATGTCACTTACCCACCGTCCTCTTCTGTGCTCTTCTTTGCAGCCAGCTTGTTATTACCCATGGCTCTATCAGACTGTGCCATGTGTCCTTGAACATGCCACACTTTAGCATTGAAAACCTCATGTCCTGGAGAAATGGGCCTCAGGCATCTGAGACCACTGGAATCTCTTTTGCACTGTGGAGGCTTTTTCCCAGGTGTCACTAGGCTTTCGAGTGTATTTATTAATAAAGGGTAGAATGTTAGGTGCTTTCTATAAACCATTATCTCTCTCTCTCCCCCATCCCCCCTTTCCCTCTGATTTGGCCTGTGTCCTCCCTGTCACCAAGTGAGTGTTGGTGAGATGACTCAGCAGATAATAGCATTTGTCACCAAAACCGATGACCACAGACTGATGCCAGCATCCACATGGTGGAAGGAGAGGACTGATTCCTGAAAGTTGTCCTCTGACCTCCACTTGAGTCTTGTGGCACAGGTGTGCCCTCTTCACCCTAAATAATGTGATAAAGTAATTTAAAGATCAAAATGACTTAACACTCCACACACAATAAAGTTTCCATGGGATAATGTTTGCAACCCTCGGATTGTTTAGCAGGGGCGAATGGATAAAGGAATTCAGTGGAGTGTTATTTAGTCACAAACCGACATAATCCCATTCTTTGCAGAAAAAGGGATAGAACTAGAGGTCATTAAGTTTTGTGAAACAGACTCAAAAAGACAAATATTTAATTTTTTAAAAAAATATGCAGAGTCTCAGAAAGTAACATGACAGGGTTGGGGCATAGCTGAGCATACGTAACGTAGCTTACATACATGAGGCTCTGGGTTCAATCCCCCAGCACTGAAAAAAAGCATCAGTATTTGAGGCTGGTGAGCTGGCTCAGCAGGTCAAGGTGCTTGCCACCAAGGCCAATGTCTGATAACCTGAGGTTGATCCCCCTCAGAACCCAAATGGTGGTAGAAGAAATGTAACCCTGTGAGTTGTTCTCAGACCTCTGCTTCTGCATGATGGCACATAGACTCACAAGCCCCTCTGCATACATACATAATTGATAAAATTAAAATGTGGTTTTCAAAAAGCCCCGACAACAGAAGGGAATGTATGAGAGAGGGAAGCAGAGAGCATATAAGAGAAGGCTATGAGAATAATATGACCAAAGTACATTATAATGTACGTGTGTGTGGACATGTCACAAGGTGGTCATTATTTAATTACTCTGGGGGATGAAAGGGAAGCAGCCAGAGGGACACAGGGGCTGAGAGAGGAGGACATCAGAGTGAGGAATGAATTGATACAAAGTTTAGGCATATAGGTATGGAAACGCCACAATGAAACCCATTTCTATGTTAACTTTAAAAGCCAATTTTAAAATTTGCTAATATATAAAGACATATATTAAAATAATGAAAACTTGAAGAAAAGGACCCAGAAATGACTTCCCAGAAGGCAAGGGTAGATCAGCTGGGGAGGACAGAGACTCACAGAGGTTCTCGACAATTCAGGAGACCCCAGGGCTCGTTTTGGGGTCCCAGCATCCCACCCCATTTGGTTCCTGCCTTTGCTCTTCCACGGGATCTTCAAGGCCTCCGGGCAGCTACACAACTGAGGTTTTCACATTTATTTCAAAGGGATGGATAATCCTTGCATTTTCTTCCTCACATAAAGGTTTAGGATGGAATGAACAAACAGCCCGCGGAGCCTCCTCCTCCCGAGGGAAAGGATGAACAGCGGAATCACCACTGTTTACCCAGGGACTTTCCCTCTCTGATACTTCCTTCCTCCAGCGTGGGAGAGACATGGAAAGCGTGGGTGTGTGCGTGCACGTGCGTGTGTGTGCATGACTGTTCTTCCGCTGGACAGTTTTCCATAGTTCTCAGAGGCAGTGGACCTCTTAACGTACCTGCACAGAACACAGAGCCTCGGTAGAGAAAGTGAAGTCTCTAAGCTCTGCAGAGGCTTCTGCAGGCCTGGGGGCATCTCCTGGTTGGAGGATCAGGGAAGAAAACCTGAAAGTTACAGGAATAGGATAGGGGAGGAATTAAGACAATCAACACTGCATTTGAGGATGATCACACGGTTGACAGAACCACGTGGGTGGGTTCGCAGATCAATATTTACTGAATTCTTAAGCTGCATGCCACCCAAAGTCTTTAAAAGATGTAAATTTTGCTGTAGGGGAAATGGAAAAAAAATTTTTGAGAAGTCACCGTTCCAGGATGTGGCAGTGTTTTCTGAGATTCCAATGTGAACAGCTGTGTACTGGGCATTTGCTAAGGCTGGAGCACTGAGTATACATGACAGTCACACCTCATCCATGGTGGCAACTTAAAGGTCTTCCAGAAGATAACTGAAGCAGCAGATGGTACCCCAGCCATATGCATTAATTTACAAATTAATATTTATGTATGTACAGGGAAATTATATATGACATATAAATGTGTTATATATTTAAATATAGTTACATATAATTTTTATTTACATATTCATACAAAAATCATGTGTAAATATATAATTATATGTGTATAATTTCCTTGTACATACATAAAGATTAATTTGTAAGTTAGCCATAGAAAGTTAATAGCCACTGTTGCTATCATAATTAATAATAAAACAGAATTCTTATCACAATAAGCTGTTCTAAAATTTCCATCTGTAACAGTCTAGAATTTGGGACCATGATGATGTATATCAAGGGTTGTGTAAACACAAGGACTAACATTTCCCTGGTCTGTAATCTGTTAGCAGAGGCAGTCAGCTAATGAATGACTAATGGGTGAGTAGACTCTTTTATACAGCATGGGTATGCTCTACAAATGAGTGAGTCCTGTCCTCCTGTCCTCCGTGGAATGGAGCATGAGATGTTATCTCTCTACTCAGAATAGAATACAACTGGAATCTTCTGCTTAATATTTTCAGATCATGCTTGACCATTGGTAACAGAAACAGTGGTAAGGGGACCCTGAATGTCAGGGATGTGTTACATCATCAAATTTTCACATGTATGTTAGTGAGGAAATAGACCCTAAGACGGGTCCCCTCCTTTCCCCTGTGTATCCATCAGGATACCCTGGACCAGAAACCTATGATTTCTGATGTTCCATGAGCATCTGATGAAGGTTGCTCAAATGTAAGTTCTGACTCCATGGGTTGGGGGGGGGGTCTAACAAACTCCCAGCTGGTGTTTGATGTGCATTTTTGATGAGGAGAGGCTGGATGATGCTCTAGTAACATAAATATGAAATACTCCATTCTTTTAAAAAGTTGGTTATTTTATTTCTTGTATATGGGTGTTTTGCTCGCATAGATGTGTGTACCACATGTGTATAGTATACCCAGAGGCCAGAAGAGGGCATCAGATGTCCTAGAACTGGAATTACAGACAGTTGTGAGCATCATGGATGCTGGGAATTGAACCTGGGCTCCTGAAAGAGCAAGTGCTCTTAACTGCTGATCCATCTCTCCATCTGCTACTCCATCCTTTTCTATAAAGTTCTTCAGCATCCACAGACTTTGGTTTCTGCAGTCTTGAAAGAGCAGAGAGACAAGAAGCCTGTCGTTCAAGGGGTTAGAGGAGGAAGATGGAAAGCCTCATGCCAGCAATTAAACGTCACAGGCTGGAAACTTGTGACTCAGTGGCTGGAATCAGCCATGTGTCTCTAACCAATCACAAGGAGGCCAAAGATCGTACCTACTATGTTTAGGAAAGATGAAGAGCCAAGAATGTCTGATAAGCAACAATGAAACATCACACCCTCTCCACAAATCAACAGATCCAGAATTTAACACATGATCATCACTGAAAAACAAGCACGTGAGTACTAAGAGAAGTGCTCTGGGGGCTGTTCCAAAAGCGTTTGCTCCTTTTCATGTCAGTTTTGTCTACATCAGCAATTTTAAAAAGTCTTTGAAAATGACACTCCATGCACGCCCACAAAAAGCACATCAGAAGTTATGCAACTTTAAAATATGCAGTGATTGCAGACAGTCCTTTTGACTTGTGGAGAATGTGAATTGCACAAGATTTCTCTGAATAAAAAAAAAAACGATTGTGTAACCAGGGAATGACTGTACATGCTCATGGGAGATCCTCTGTAGATGTCTTTTCATGCTGCCATATTTGTTTGTCATTTCAGGTTAACAGTTTTCTGTGCATTTATTTCTCTCTATATGTAAACAACCATTTTCTTCTTCTGTGATGTTCTATGAAGTGTTTAACTGTGCCTTTTCTTTAAAAATTGCAATATTGTAATAAATATCCAATTTGGCTGCAATATTTCTCTTTCTAACTCATTTACTTACTTTGTTACTTTTCTTTGCTCCGTGTGTGTGTGTGTGTGTGTGTGTGTGTGTGTGTGTGTGTGTGTGTGTGTGTGTGTATAAAGCATGCGTCTGTGGGTGCCTGAGGTTGCTAGACTGAACATCAGATCCCTTATACGTGGTTGTGAGATGCCTAGCACGGGTGCTGGGAGCTGAGCTGAGCCATCTCTCCAATTCCTTTTAGTTACTTTTCTCAGTACTGGGACGCTGACAAGAAGTGACTCTGAGGAGGAAGTGCTTCACTTTGCTCCTAGCTTTGCAGTGGGGCATGCACAGATGTGGGATGGGCTCCTGTCTTCGAGGGCAGGTTCTTATGGCATGGTCCTCTCATTTCTTAGTAGGCTAAGATGAAAAGAGATTAACTGCAAGGGGAGCCTAGCTACACTTCTCTCTCAAGGTCACAGTCCTGTAGCTATCCACTTCCTACATCTAAGACCTGCCTCCCATAGGTTCCACAACCTCCTCGAATAGCTGCACCAGTTGGGGATCCCCATGTTCAAACACATGAGCCAGTGGAGGATATTTCACATTCTAACCATTCCCCCTTCTCCACCCGTGGCCTGAAGACTAAAGTTTCTGTCCTGTCAGGTCCCACTGCTTTTAAGAGTTTTGATACACAGTGCCAAATGCTTCCATCGTGTTTACATCAGTTCAGATATTTTTAGCAATGTTCTATGAATGTCCATTTCCCCAAAATGATAAATATGATCTAACTGTAAATTCATCAGAAAATATGTGGATATATTTGTTTAAAATATTCATTAATGTATTTTCATTCTGTTTCATTTATTAGCACATTTTCCTTCTGAATTTTACATTTACTTACTCTTTAATGAGTCTGTAGAAAAGATCACTTAACCTTTTGTTTAACTTATATGTGGCTAAAATCTCGCCAATGTTTCTCTTGGGTTTTAGTTGAATTTTTGTTGCTGTCATGTAGCCTATGCTTGTCTAGGACTTGATATAGAGTTTGGATGCCTTGCACCCTCAATCCTCCTGCCTCCAGTCTTCCAGTGTTGGAGTCATAGGCAGTTTCTGCCATTCTTGGCTTAGTTGACTTAAAAAAAACAGTGAACATTATTGGGAAAGATATGAATGGGTATAAGCTTAGCAAGAGCAATTTAATAATATGTATCAAAAATTTAAAAACACAATATGACTTAACAAAGTTATTCAACTTGCAGTGACTCACTACCTCCAAGGAAATCCACATGAATGGATTGAAATAGTTCCATGTCAGGTGGTTGTCATAGTGTTGCATATAGTAGCAAAGTTCAGTGTTGTGAAATATTAAAGATGTGTTATATTTGTTCATGCTGTGAAATATTTGTTTAGTGATGCAAAGATGTGTTGCATTCCTTTATGTTGCATTTGTTTAACTCTGTGAAGCTGTGTCACTGTGCCTGTCTAAAACACAAAATAAGTCCAACAAAGAGCTGAACAGCCAATAGCTAGGCATGAGGAAGGATAGGTGGGACTGGCAGACAGAGGATAAATAGGAGAAGAAATCTGGGAAGTCAAGGATCAAGAAAAGGAGAGAGGACACCAGGGCTAGCCACACAGCTACACAGCAAGCCATGGAGTAAAAAGTAAAGAAAGGTATACAAAAATAGAAAAAGATAAAACCCAGAGACAAAAACGTAGAAGGGCTAATTTAAGAAAAGCTGTCTAGAAACAAGCCAAGCAAAGGCCAGGCGTTCATAAGAAAGAATAAGCCTCCATGTGATTTATTTGGGAGCTGGGTGGTAGGCTCCCATTGAGAAAAAGACTAAAAACAAGTAACAAAGATCAGGTCTTTGTTCAGTTTCATGAGTGTGATCAGTCTATCCTCAGATCTCTGTTTCAATGTTTGAGTTAGCTTTTGATTGCAGGACTAAAAGGGGAAAAGATGCCATTTTAATATTTGTGGTTGTTTGAATGAGAATGATCCCACAGGCTCATATCTTCAAATGCTTGGTTTGCAGTTGGTGGAACAGTTTGGGAAGGATTAGGAGCTGTGGCCTTGCTGGAGGAGGTGCATCACTGGGGGCAGGCATTGAGGTTTCAAAACACTCACATCATTCCCACTGTTCTCTCTCTCTCTCTCTCTCTCTCTCTCTCTCTCTCTCTCTCTGTCTCTGTCTCTCTCTCTCTGCCTCCTACACGTGGATCAAGATGTGAGCTCTCAGCTGTTCCTGCCTCCACATCTTTGCTCCACCATCATGGACTCTGCCTCTCTGAAACAGTAAGGCCAAGATTAAACATTTTCTTTTATAAGTTGCCTTGGCCATGGTGTTTCATCACAGCAATAGGAAAGTAACTAAGACGATATTCCTTGGGCTTCTTTTTCTATAATTAAAGGTGGATATACAAATAGGTGGTAGCTACCAGATGATGGGTCAACAAATCAATAGATACAGATTATTAGCAGATAGAT